CAACAGATGCCTTGTCCAGGAAGCTAAGAATGAAAAAACAAAGAAAGATGTTGGTTATCGACTGATATTATATTGAACCGATTGATAGACATGTTTGGTATCACAAATTGCATACCGTAACTGATTGGTGTGACGGATTCGTGATGCCTCAGGGAGATCTTCATACAACAAGGAAATATCAGAAGGGAGTTTAGCTTTCTTTTTCCTAAATGCAGCAGAAACAACTTGGGAAATATGAGCAACGGGACTCCCCGAACATTTCTTGTATCGGTATCGTTTCGTTCCCGAAAAGAACACCACAAGTGCAACAAACGTTGAAGCAGAGCAGATCCCATAACCCCAACTTCGACCAACTTCATCTTGGATGTAAACAAGCACTGTGACAGCCATCAAAGTTCCAGTTCTGATAACAAAGAAAAACCGACTGAAGAAATAAGTCATCTGGGCCTTCTCCTTTTAATCCTTTTCATCGAACTGGTCAGTTCCGAATCCTGAAACGCTCGATTTCAAGCCACCGGTCCCTAATGCTACTAGATACAATGAAAGGTACAGAATTCCCATTTGAAAGCTATTAGCTCGTTGGCATTGTGTTACATCGGCAGCGTGGCAAGGAGGCGGCCGAAGTTGCTGCAGTTTTGTTGATACAGCTAACAGGAAAGTCCCCTGATTCACCACCATCATTAGGCATATATAGAAACTGAATGCAAACTTTTGATGGTTTCAATTAAAAACTCTGGTTTCTGAACTTACAAGCATCTGAACCGAGGCGAATATCGCGATCGTTTAGTATCGTCTCAAGCACCAATCGGCAAGGAATCCACCAAGTAAATACAGAATAAACGAGGTCCCCGTGAAGTCTGTCACAACATTTGCAGAAGTAGCACTTGGAAAGTGCATATTTCCCACCCAAGTAAGTCACAAGGTTCACTGCTATCCCCATTGTTGCCAGCCTCTCACATATTTCAATGCCTGAAGAAAAAAAAAACACACCAAAACTCAACAGTTTTGCCTCAAACAAAGACATGAGACAAGGTTGATTTCTTGTCTGTTTACTACTGGTTTCAGATCAGGCACAGTCATTAACTCATTATGAAGAAGATGAATGATGAGTTTTTGCTTTTTGTTTTTTGGTGTACCTAAACTGAGAGCTGCAGGTACCCAGCCACCAGTTATAGACCTATCAGCAGGGAATCCCTTGTAATCCACTGCATCAGCAACAGTTAAGCTCATCTTCTCAGCCTGTAAGGAAGAAACACTGAACATAAAACAACATTTTTCATGACAAAACCCCAGTTCCATGCCATTTTTTTTTCTGTCAGAACTGGAACAAGAAGCAGCAAAGAAGCTTATAGAGAAACTAACCATGACAAGGGTTTTAGAAGAAGATGAGAGTAAAACCAGAAAAAAAAAGGTGGCCTCCTCCCTATAATGTGAAGGGAAAAACTACTAGTAGCCAAGCTGTATTTAAATCAGCAAGGCACCAATGACCAGTATCCCTTACAACGACATCCACCATATATCAAAGGTCTTTGTTTTCTAACAACCCTTTATCACATACTATTTACATCAAACACTAGCTGCTTATATAATATGTGCTCCCCAGTTTTTTTTCCCATGGAATATCATTATTATTATTAATAAACAGAGAATTACAGGTGTTGGACTGTGATTAGTTGATGTTGCTGTATAATCAGAGCACACTGTTCACATTGCCTTGTTGGCTGAAGTTTAATCATGACATAGTTGAATGATTAGTTGATGTACAAGAAAAGCTTTTTTGCAAAACCCCACAGGCAAAAGTTGTTATTTTTCCCATCTTTTCGTGCCTGCAAGCTTGTATTTATGTTCTCAAAGACGAAAAAGCCCACCTCTTTTTGTTTTATTTCACTTACAGTCTGATCGAATCTGATCTTTTCTGCATGTTCGGGTGGAATATAATAGCAATAACACAATTGTTTTTAGATCTTGCACACTGTTGCGACTAAGGGATATACATTGAGTATGGTACTGGTAACTAAATTTTTCTAAAACTTTCATTTAGGTCTCCTAATTTTTAAAACTTGTAATATAGTCCTCCAACATTAAGTACGTTTGCAATATGGTCCCTGACGTAACTGGCCGTTTGACGTCGTTAAACTGCCGTTAGTACATTTGCAATATGATCACTGAACTTTTCAGGCGCTTTCATTCTGGTCCCCCAACTATTAAAACTTGCAACATAGTTCTCAATTTCATTCTAAACCCCAAATTCCTTCCCAATCTCGAATTTCCTTTTTCGCTTCTCTCTTCTCATTTCCAGCGTAACTTTTCAGTCAGGAATGCATGAGAAATTCTAATCTAACTTTGAATTATGTGGAGGTGTTGACTTGAATAAGGGTTCATTGAGAGAAGACTCAACCAAGGGACTATCGGGACCATCAACGATTCAAGGTGTAATGTTAGATACATGTCATCTCAGGTGAAGCATATATGTTCGATGAAATGCTTGTGAGAAAAAATGGGGTTAGAAATACATAGTTGACAAATACTACTAAGATGAACTAATTATCATAGTTGAAAGTCACCAACAAAGCTGAATTATTTTGTATAAATGACATATAATAATTTCTTCGTTTAATCCTTGTGATTAAAGATTTTCCAATGATCAAATATAATGAAATCTCAAATAGAGCATTCACCTCTCAGTCTCTTTCGCAACTCGAAAGGCATCATGACAGGGTCAAGTAGCTGCTCCAAATATACTACCCTATCATGATGCCTTTCGAGTTACGTGCATGCAAAATTGTCTTCTAAAGCTATAATTCAATACAATTCAACAGTAAAATTTCCAAAACATGTAAAAAAATCCAATTCGTTCACGATATATCAGTCTCATAATCAACATGAACTTATTAAAAAGAATACGAGCTCACAAGACGCCGAAAACCACAGGTCAGATCAATACAATTCCAGTAAACTATTACCAACAGTCTCTCGAATTGAGTCTGGTGATTTCACTATGCCGATACTCACAATCAATTCCATGATTTAAAGAAAAACCAAACAAGAAGATAAAAAATTTAGCCTATGACCCTATTTCACTTCTATTCTGATGGACTAAATATCTTTCACAAGGAGTACTAAAAGTTTTGATTAAGAAGAAAGAAAGAAAATTAGATGGTTTTGGTTCAAAACTAACACTGAATATCCAGATCATTGACATGCAGTTCCAGAAACATAAAAATTTCAACAAAAAACACACAATGCGAGCTGAAAATGGGAAAGTGCAAAAGAGGAAAAACTTACTTCCGGATAGCCCAAAAGAGAAAATAAATACCTTCTTGCAAGTGAGGGGAGAGGCTAAGAAATAAACGCAATCGGTGTTGCATTCTAGCAATTCTTCCTCCATTTTTTTCTTTGTAAATAAAAAGCTGAAAGACAGAGCACTGCTTGGGTTTACAATTTTACATGGCGGAAAATTGAAGAACAAAAACCAAACGAGAGTGCAAGTGAGCGAAAGAGACTGAGAGGTGAATGCGTTGTTTGGGATTTCATTATATTTGATCATCTGTTGGAAAATATTTAACCACAATGATTAAACGAAAAAATTATTATATGCTATTTATACAAAATAATTCCAGCTTTGTTGGTGACTTTCAACAGTGATATTTAGTTCATCTTAGTAGTATTTGTCAACTCTGCATTTCTAACCCCATTTTTTTTCTCACAAGCGTTTCATCGAACATCTATGCTTCACCTGAGATGACATGTATATAACATTACACCTTGAATCGTTGATGGTCCCAATAGTCCATTGGTCGGGTCTTCTCTTAATGGACTCTTATTCAAGTCAACACCTCCACATAATTCAAAGTTAGATTAGAATTTCCTATGCATCCTCGACTGAAAAGTTACGCTGGAAATGAGAAGAGATAAGCGAAAAAGGAAATTCAAGATCGAAAAGGAATTTGGGGTTTAGAATGAAATTGAGGATCGTATTGCAAGTTTTAAAAGTTGGGGGAATTAAATGCAAGCACTTGAAAAGTTCAGTGACCATATTGCAAATGTACTAACGACAGTGTAACAGTGTCAAACGGTCGGTTACGTCGGAGACCATATTGCAAACGGACTAAATATTAGGGGATTGTATTGCAAGTTTTAAAAGTTAAGGAACCTAAATGAAAGCTTTAGAAAAGTTCAGTAACTATTACTCTCCTTTACCCTAATAATAATAATAATAATAATAATAATAATGCCTAGAAAATTCATTTAATCAGAATGTGCTTGAATTGATGCTTCAAGAGGTTAAATCATTGACTAACTATGTGAACCAAATCTTCACCACGTGATGTAAGTGTAAATTTCAGCTGGATGGTTTATACAATCAAAATCCTTAGGTCGCTCGTATGCATAATTTTATGTTGCGGGTAAATTTAAATTATTAAAATTTTAAATAAAATTTTAGGAAATAGATTTAAAATTTTAAAATTTTAATGGATGAAAATATATTTTAATATAAAATATATTTTAATATAAAATATATAACAATTTTAAAATTTTAAAGAAATAACTACCCATTTACCTCTTGGATCCACCCTTGGGCCCTTGTTGGCTTCCATGCAGAACAGTCATCGCTTTTTTCACAGATTTTCAGGAACGGAAAATAAATGCATTGAATATATTATAAAACATTTTATTAAGGGATGAACTTTGACGATATATGGTTGAAGACAAAATTTATAGATATATTACTATTGTCGTTCAATTAATCCGCGTTCTCGCAAATATGTTAAAAATTATGTTCAAATTTCTTATAATGTTAACAAAGACACGTCTTATAAAACTTACATTCTGAAAAATATGTCAAAATGATATATTTTAAGATATTTTTTAAAAAATATTTTATTAAGTAATTATTGAATATAAGTGTTATTACAACAATATAACAAACTTTTTAGACCCAAATTTTTGTCTATATTGAACGTGTTTGACGAAGATACGATAGTTTCCCAAGGGGAAAGGAAGAGATGGGAAATCGTGAAATCAATTGACCTTTCTGTTGTTCAAAATGGTAAAACTACAATGTTATTGCTTACACCCATGTGTTTTGTATGGGATGTCTAAAGTACAACAGTCTCAATAAACAGTTAAAGAAATATATTATTGGAAAGTTAATATTTTTTTTAATATTTTTGGTAAAGCGTTATATAAAATATTATTTTTTTTATCAAAAATATTAATATTGGATGCTACCTAAAATGTTTAACATTTCCGGTAAAGCGCTACTTAAAATATTATTTTTTTCTACAAGAAATCTTTTCAAATTTTTCACCGAACTTAATAGATTAGGTTTTTTTAGTCATTCAAAGCCTTTTCTTTATTTCTCCAACTGTTTGTCTCCCACATTAATTACCACATGTCTCCCTCTCCCCTTTCCCTATAAATATCACACCTAACACAACCTTTAAACCACACTCAAATATCAAATTCTCTCATTCTTCATATTATCAATATTTATATTAAGAAGGTTAATTTTTTTCTATTATATTAGAATTATTTATTAATTTATTATTTTATTAAATTTTATTGTACTAATTTTTTATTACTTTTTGCATTTATAAAATGGAAGGTTAATTGCTATATTTAGATGTGAATCATATCTCGAGGCATTTTACTGATGCAGTAACAATTTTAAATTGTGTTGTTATTTTAATTATTGTGAATGTTTTATTTATTTAATTTTTTTAGTATTAGTTTATATTTTAATTTGTAAACTATTTATTAAATAAGGAGAGAGATCGTATATTAGATCCATTCATTCGTAACGTTAAGTTAGAGATACATACTCGTGTATGTCCATATTTAGTTTAGCCTGGATTCAGTTACATAGAGAAATATGAAGGGCACTGTAACCTTGAATGCAACCTTATTTCTGCACTGATTGAGAGGTGGAGACCAGAGACACACACATTCCATCTTCCGTGTGAAGAGTGCACGATTACGTTGGAGGATGTTTTTATACATTTGGGGATTCCGGTAGATGAGGATGTGATTTCTGAGGTGGCGGATGGTGATTGGCATTCCTTGTGCGAGGGGTATCTTGGAGGTGTCCCGCCTAATTTCAACGGTAGTCAAATACCGTTAAATTGGTTGGATACAACTTTTAAACATTTGAGTCGCGACGCCTCCGAGGAACAAGTTAAAATGTATACACAGACTTGCATATTACAACTCATAGGAAGGATCCTGATGCCCGACAAATCGTGCAACTAAGTTCATTGTATGTGGTTGCGTCATTTCGCATATTTTCATGTTTCCGACACACTCAGTTGGGGCTCTGCAGTTTTGGCATTTCTGTATAGGGAAATCTGTCAAGCAATTGATTATAAAAAATACTATCGGAAGATGTCTCATTCTTCTCCAGTATAGGACGTGGTATCACATGCCCTTTTTATGTCTGATCGTGAAAAACGCGTTGATCTTCCCGCTGTTGAGGTAATTTCAATATTGAATTCGTATAGAAATAGTTTTGTTGAGTATATAATGAATTGTTTTCATTGAATAAGTGGTCAAGTGCAAGAAAAGATTATCGGGATTTACCAGATGAATTGGAAGAAATTTGGCTACTCATTGATCATAATTCAGGTACAGAGGTATGCATTTAAATTTTATTATTTACTTTTAAATTTCGTTATATAATTAAAATATTATTTTGATAAAAATTATATATATTTTTTTAGTTTCAATAGGATCCTTATTCTACTAAAGAAATAAGAATTTGCATCCCACATCACTTGAGATGCCCATGAAATGTCTGGATGGCGGTGGTTCCTCTGATCTGTTATGTTATTCACGAGTGGCATCTTACTGATCACGTGCCCCACCAATTTGGTTTCGTACAATCTATTCCGGAAGCACCTAAGAATCTTGATGATATGCATATCATCGATAGATGGCTAAAAAAAGAAGCCGACTGGCTATTGAAATACATAGAGTGTGTAATGATATGGGATGACTGACATGGACGCATTCCCTGTACGGAAGCCATTTATGCGGATCATTATTCGGTTGTGGAAGATTATTATGAGTGGTTCAACACGAACAGAAAACCGTTCATACTTTTCAATGAAGCATGAGGCAGGATCATACATCGGCGCCTACAAAGACGTCCACCATCACAATATCGTCATCCCTCAAATCGTGGACGGAGAGTAGGCACTTTCGGTTCATCCTCAGCTGCAGCACCGAAACCATCACAGCAACCATCATCTACACCAGTGTACATTCTGCAGCCATTTTAGATGGCACCGAAGCCGTATCAGATGGTACCACAACCATTTTAGATGCCACCTCACCCAAGTCAGACGTCATCGCTTCCATATCAGATGCTACCATATCCATATCAGATGCCACCGTAGTCGGGTCAGATGCCATCGTTGCAGGGTTTTATGACCCCTCCTAGCGGATATTATACTTCCATGCTTTTAGATCCAGCGTGGAGGTTCATATGTTGCTTATTTAGCGGGTGAAGGTGGACCACATATAAAGACACCTCCGGCACAGTTTTCACACGTTGATGTCGGTGTTTTCACAATTTTCACAATTTTCTTTGAGCGGTGGGATACTCAGTCATACACCTTTAGGTTCCTTATTCTATAGAGATGTTACATCGTCATCCATCTCTCATAAACAAAATGTAGCTGCTCCTGATGATGATGATGATGATGAGAGTGATGAGGAATAACAAGTTATACAAAGAAATCTTCATCGACACAGACAACCACTGCCTTGCGGAACACATTCAAGACTCAAACATCGATATAGTTGCTTAGTTTGTAATGTTTTTATTTAATTTTATTTGTTTACCAGTAATTGTAAAGTTTTTATTTGATTATGGACTTTTTATTTATTTTGTTTGTTAATTGTTTTATTAATTAATTGTTCGAATTGTATCATCTGCATTTAATGTTTCTATTTAGTTGTTCTTATTGTTTGAATTGTATCGTTTTCTTCTATTTAGTTTGTAATGTTTTTATTTAATTTTCACTTGAGTAACCCATTACTCGGTGATGCTCAAATGACATTAATTGAAAATAAATAAAAATTAAATAACACAAATTTAGGTTTCATAAACAATCATTACATCATCACATCATCAATGATTACTTGATGACAAAAGAGATGAACATTTTTTCCTATTGTGTCCTAGGTTTCTACAATGCCAATATCTTTTGTTTTCTCTTAACGTCTCTCGAATATCCATGTCACAATGAATTCGAACAGATTTTGGACGACTGGTCTCCCTTAATAAGGATGGATCTAGTACAATCGGAAGGTAATTCTGAACCTCATCAGCGTCTTTCTCATTAACTATGGGGGAACTCAAATTAATATACCTTAAATGCTTCTAAAAGTCGGTAAACGAGATCTACAAAATGGTTATAGTCTTGACGGCTATTAGAGCAAGTTGCTATGACATGGGAGCATGTATACTTCAGAGCTTGAAAAAACTCACAGTCACACCACCTGTCTCATATATTAACTCTGAATGAATTAGCTTGAATCCCTTGAAGAGGTCGTGACATCTCTGTGACACGAAGTAATTTATGGGTTCTAGAGAAGAATGTTACAAATATTCCATTTTATGCAACAATTCTTTTTTGTAGATCTACAACTAATCTTGGGTGATAGACATGACCATTTTGCATCCAATACCATTTTGCATCCAAGTTTGAGCTTGTCCCCTGAGCTTGGCAAAAACCGCTCCCAAACGAAAATACATCATTTTAACCAAAGTTGTTTCTGGTAAATGGTGTGCCCCCTTTAAGGTCAAATTTATAGCCTCAGCCAAGTTTGTCGTCATGTGTCCATATCGATATCCATCATCATATGCATTTGTCCACATTTCTTTATTGACGAGATTGATGTAATTGTATCATTCCTCATTCTTTCCTCACAAATCTTGAAGCATAGACTCAAATGTTTCAGGTAATATTTCATAACCTGAGCATCAAATGTAAAACTTATTATTAAGTTTCCATAAAAAAATGAAAATGATTGAGAAATAAACTTAGGCATTTTTACATACTCATACGCATAAGTAATTGTCGTTCATCATTCTTCTTGAACTTTTCATGATAGTTTGCAGTAATATGTCAGATACAGTACCGATGTTGGACATAGGGTGGTTGCCACACTTAACCCAAAGACTCCATTGTTGCTTTGATCCCAGTTCCGCTAACTGAAATGACACATATTTTTCCCTCGTGACAACATGTAAGCATAAGTATCTGAGGAAAAAACCCAAGAATATGTATCTTCTCCTTCAACAAGGACAAAAAAAACTGGAAGAATGTTGTGATTACTATATTGGACAACTTTTAATAGTAAAACTTTCATGTATTTTCCATACAAGATTGTCCCATCAATTTGGACCATGGGCTTGTAATATTTCACAGTATTAATGCACTGCGAGTAAGTCCAAAAAAATCGATAGAATTGGCATTGCGAATGACTCGATCATTGTGGTATGCATGATAAGTTTTGAAGTCGACAATTGTCCCAGGATTCAATCTGCGCACTACCCTAAACCAACTTGGTAGTTCGTTGTAAGATACATCTCATTCGCCGTGATGTTTTTTAATAGCATTCTACTTTTCCTTCCATGTTTTCCTATATGAGACAGTGTACCTATATTGAGACTGTATAGCTGAAATCAACACCACAATAGCTATTTGGGAGCTTGCTTTGAATATAGGCATGATGTCTTGGCAGATAATGTCGGATTCCAAGTTGGGATGATCCCGGTTGATCCCCCCAGAACAACATGTGTGAGGACCGTTGTATACTGTTAGTTCTCATATATTGTTTTTTCTCTTCCTCTTTGATACATGAACCATCCAGTTGCATCTGTTATCACGTTGGACACAATGACAAACATACTCTTTGATTGTGGAACGGTTGACTCTAGACTGAACAAAATTACGAATGTTGTAATTCTTAATTGACATCATCACATCTTACTTGGATGGA